CTGCAGTCTTGTGAAGGTTTCAAAAATTATAGGAGACATAGTGAGCGATTCAATGAAATTTTGGACACCAAAGTTTTCTTTTCTCAGGATCTTGCGGAAACCTAAATAGAAGATTAAAAAATGTGTATAGGTGCCTAATAGGTTCATCATTTTTATGGTATTCTACATTTTAGGTTAAATTTTCTTTTCAATAATTATTTATTGGTATAAGAATAATTTACTAATTTATAAAAGGAATATCACTTTAAAAACTGTTTTAAGACTGTTTTAGACTACACAAGTTTTTGATACAATTTCTTGAACAATTTAAATTGTATATTATCAAACCTGCAGTAAATTGTCTGAAAAATTAAATTGGATAATCATTTTTTAAACAATTTATTATGTGATCCTATACAATTTAAATTCTATAAGAAATTGTATCAAATCTTGTACAAGAAATTGTATAGTCAAAACAGTCTTAAGACGGGTGCCCTACTCCACTGGTTTAAATGAAAATAACATATCTTAACCTTAAAATACTTACCGATAAAAGGATAAATTTCGATTTAAATGATCTACCTTATTGAACACTACACATGAATGTATCATAATTCTTTATATTTCTCACAAAAGTTCACAAAAATAGTATTTTATAAATGAATAAATCAATAAGTCATACAGAAACTGTCAGAAACACAAAATAGCTGTTAGACCCGATTGGCAACGTTGCGGCTGGTTACGGTAACTACATTTCATTCATAAAAATAGGTATTAGTTGTATTCGTAAAATAGGATATTCAGCGTTGCCGTATTTACGGAGTTCTTTTGCAACCCTAATATTTTGTTTAGATTATTATTGATTTTTAATAAAAAATTTAGCTTATATTAAAACTTTAAAGAATAATTTGAATAAAAATATATTTTTATTTATATAATATAAAATTATAGTCATAGGATACATCAAATTTTATTTTTCGAAAGTAATTTCTCCAAATAATTTTTACAGACTGATAAAACCGGCAACGACGCAATAAACGAGAATCTGGTGGGAATAATGATTTGCCACATAAAAATGTAAACAATTTGGTCTCTTAGTTGTAATGTCTTTGATATTTTCACATTTTCAAAAATTACAGTATTCAGTATCTTTGTCCTTTGTCAACGTATATTGGTTCATTTTGAATGGTGTTTATTTCTCTTTTAGTTGTTGTGTTAGTCGCCATTTTTTCTTGCCTTTCTCTTATTATTTATTAGTTCTATTATTTATTTGTAGTATACATTGCCTAGGTTTGTTTTGTAATTTATAGTGGGCTGTTCCCTTGTAAGTCAGTGACAAATTTTTCCATCTTTAACTCTAGTTCTTCTTTTGTTTTTATTCATGCACTTAGTTCAATTCCATTACTTAATTTGGCTTTAAAATTTATTCAAAGTGACAAAAATAATTAAATTACAAACGTAAGTAATCAGTACAAGATTGCTTATCTATTTTTTATTTGCTTAAAACTGATTTGTATGAATCAAAATAAATAGCTATTAAGATTTATGGTTATTTTGATACCAATCTTAATTATTATCTTAATTTTCTCGAATTGATTCAAATTATAATTTTAACCAATAAAATACATCGATTTAAAACAACTTGTTAACTTCCTGAGACATTTAAAACGAACAAAAGCAATTTTATTAGCAATAAAATATAAACAAAGAATACTTAATTTACTTCCATAATAATACTATAGGTACAATACAAATAAACTTATTACCAAGATTATGAATATTGTTTACAATAAAAATAGTATTTTCTGCAAGGTAAAATGTAGTTTACATAAGAATGAAATCCATATATAACATCATATAAACCAATCTCGCTTCTACTTGTGATATCAAAACTATTTGAGAAATTGCTCTCAAGAAGACTGAATAACATAAACGACAAAAAAAATTATCCCATTCCATCAACTCAGATTTCAAGATAAACATTACAATAAGTAAAATTGAGAATTCACTAGAAGAAGAAAACATGTTCCACAGTATTTCTTGATATCTCAAAAGCCTTCATTAAAGTGTGGCATCAAGGCTTACTATTTAAAATAAAGAAATTTTTCCCGATGAAATATATCCAACTACTGGAATCATGCCTATCGCAGCGAACATTTAAAGTTAAAATGGAAAACGAATACTTTGAACTCAATTTAATAAATGCTGGCATCCCACAGGGAAGTATTCTTGGGCAGTATTATATTTATTATACACCTATGACATTTCAAAAATAGAAAATATAAAATTACCTACATTCATTGATGATACAGCTGTCTTAACCATAAGATCAACTATAGAAGAAACTACAACTAATCTTCAAAATGGAATCAATAGCATACAGATCTGGTCTAAACAGTGGCTCATAAAAATGAACTTTACCAATAGAAGAATAGATTGTATACCAAATAACAATATTATACCAAATAAGAAAACGATAAAATTTCTGGGTATAAATCTGGATGTTAAATTAAAATAGATGGAGAATGTAAAAATTAAAACTGAACAGCTAAAGTTTAAATATAGAAATATGCATTGGTTTATAGGAAAACACTCTTTACTTTCCACTCAAAATGTAGTCCTGATTTACATACAAGTTCAAAAGCCAGTATGTCCTACAATTATGGGGGTGTACTAAAAAAGAGCAATTACAATTGCCTAGAAATAGTCCAAAACGGAATTCTCAGGAACATTGCTAATGCTCCTTGGTACGTTCGGAATAAAGACCTTTACTGCGAACTCCAAGTTTCAGAAGAAATTAAGAAAATTGCCAAGAGACATGAGGAGATGCTCTACAAATACATCAATATTGAAATATTCCAACGTTTAGACAATCAGGATCTATTAGATTAACTTATTAACTTTCCAACATGAATACCCAATGAACAGAGCTCTTTGATTGATCTGCTGCTGGTAAATAATAAAAAGCTAATCACCTCAATAAAACCAGAACTTCCAATAGGGTTAAGTGATAACGTAGTCATTATAGCAATCAAATATTAAAACTGGCAGTACTTACAAAATGCAAAAACGAAATTTTTGGAAAGCGAATTACAACTAGCAGAGGATACAACATATGCTGCTAATAGTTTTTACGAAACTTTAAAAAACATACAGCACGAAGTAATAAATGACAATATTTCACTAGAAGTAATAAACTAAAACCCTGAAAAACCCTGGATCAATCGAATCCTCTTCAAAGATATTAATAGCATAGGTACAGGTACAACAAGGGCTGAGGAAGATTATGCTGCATACAGAAATCAGAACAATAAACTCAAAAATTTTTTGGCTCTATCCAAAATCCAAAAAAGATTATGAACATAACCTCTTAAAACGTGGCGAAAAGAAATTTTACTCCTATGCGAAAAGAATACTGAATACAAACAGCACTCGGATCACGCTAAAAAACTCAACAACATATTTAGCAATCAAAGAAACAGCTGCGGAAATAGTTGCAGAAAAATTCAGTGCAGCTTATACAACAGAACCTGATACAGAATCACCGCAAATAACTGCAACAAAAACAGTTGAGAATAGCATAGTAAATATAAAATTTACCACATAAAAAGTGAAATTTGCAATAGATGGTCTTAAACAAGATTTAGGTCTTGGAATAGATGAAATCCCACCCATTTTACTTAAACAATGTTCGAATAGCCTTCCTTATCTCCTCGCGACAGTTATGAACGACTTAATGCAAAAACAGGTACTGCCAATGGACTAGAATCAGGCTGTAGTCACTCCTATTTATAAGAAAGGTGACCAAACGAATCCCATAAACTACCGTCCAGTCAGTCTTATAAAAGGGGTAACCGAATTCATGATGGAACACAGAATTTTACCAAACAATCAGCATGGATTTACGCCCAAAAGATCTGTTGGTACAAATCTTCTAAGTACAAATAACCAGTGGCCAGCTTGGAATGACTACAACCAGCTAATTGTCAAGCTTTCCTGAGTTAAGGCTATATGACATTAATTTTTTTCTGGAAAAAACATGAACTGTGCCTGGTTAGTGCAGTATCCGAAGTTACCAAGAACCATCAAAGGCTTCCACGATGCCCTGGACGCTATGGAGATAAAAATAAGTGCCTGTGAAGTTTGTTTGTATATAAATAATCGTGCATATAATAATTTTGTGTGTTTTACTACTAAAAACAAATCTGGGCGGAATGTGTAGTGTAAAAACATTTTTGTTGACGAAACTGTTTACAGTGCCTCGAAAGTTTTGAGGCAAGTGTTTGCAATTCATGGTTTTCATTATAACATTCATAAGACATTAGTATTTTTTTTTGCGGAATAAGTGTCAAATCTCCTATAAAAAAGTATTTATTTACTTATTGAACATTTGTAAAAGTCTAAAAATTCGATCCTGAATATAGCTTTGTAGATTTCGAAGTGGCCATACACTTGGTCATTAAAAAACCGGCTAAATGCGATTCTGACTCGCGCATGAAGGGCTGCACACCATCGTACAAGACTTAATACTATGTAGGTAATTTTTAAATACTTTATTAAGATCGAGCAAAAAAGCCAAAAAAAACATTATTTAAAAAAGGCACAGCAATTGTAATTTTCAACGCGTTAAGACTCCAGAAATAACTCCTATGAATCCCAGAAGGGCTTATCTTTTACATAACGTAATAGATCTTACTTTAAACATTTTTTTAATTCACGGGTATTTCTTACAATACTTAGGGACAGTTTTTTCACCTGTGAGTAAAGTTGAAATTAACTACTTGCTGATTAAACTATAGGACGTTTGCTTGTTAATCTGTCAAGTAAACCTACATGTAACTTTACTCAGAAGTGAAAAGTTCGACTCTTACTCGTTCTTGAACTTTTGGTTTATTATACTGGTTAGAAGGTAGAAAAGAAAAAGGGCCTATCCAACTCACACATGGCTACTACAAGTTTAAATTTAATACAGGTTATTAGAGGGTAGGTATACGTATTTATTTGTTTTTCAATTGTTTCAGATAACGAAATGCACCTTCCATAAGTACGGTCCATCAGGATCTATCCAATTCCACGACGCCATGTGTGTTATGGCTTTAAACATTATCAACGACAAAATCTACACGGGTCTTTGGTTCTGGTTCATATTCCTCTTCATTTGTACCATTTTGGGTCTCATATGGAGATTATTGACATTCCTTCTACATGCAAGATCAAGAGGTATGTATGAAACATTTATTATACAATAATATGCTATATTCTTTCACGCAGTTTATATCTATATCTCCATTCTTATTGGTTTGATTTGCATAGAACAAATGGCACTATAAAGGAGACGTGACATAAATTAACGTTGAAGAGAAAAATCATACGCAGTGGTAAAGTCAAAAGGACATTCAAGTATTATTCCCCCGTTTTTCTCGTTTGAATCGGACCAATAGCAACGAAGATATTGTTAAGAGTGAGATTATAGGCGTTTTGACTGACCCTTAAGTCCACTCTTAGCGGTAACCACGAGTTATATAGAGGGGCCCAATTTGTATTTAAATTGGCCTCTAGACAACACACACGGCTAGGGAGTTAAGTTCAGAAGGGACCCTAACTTCCTGACGATGATTCAGAGGATGGGGAAAGGGTTTGCCCTACAGGAACTATTCCTTTGGCAGTTTTCTCTCTCTATCTCTCTCTCTCTCTCTCTCTCTCTCTCTCTCTCTCTCTCTCTCTCTCTCTCTCTCTCTCTCTCTCTCTCTCTCTCTCTCTCTCTCTCTCTCTCTCTCTCTCTCTCTCTCTCTCTCTCTCTCTCTCTCTCTCTCTCTCTCTCTCTCTCTCTCTCTCTCTCTCTCTCTCTCTCTCTCCTCTCTCTCTCTCTCTCTCTCTCTCTCTCTCTCTCTCTCTCTCTCTCTCTCTCTCTCTCAGAGATCGGATTAAGCAAATACCCCGCCTTTTCATGAAACAAGCGTAAACCAAATAACAAATAAAAACAACTACTATTGCTTCCGCAATCACGTAATCTTTACTGACTACACAATAACTAAATATAACTACTTAAAACTATTTACTTACATAAGCATCGTATTCTATCTGTTGGGCTGCAAGGCTGGCGGAAGCACACGTTACTTTTATTACTATGGTTTTACAAAAAAAAAAATAATCGCGACCCGTGACTCTACTTTCGGACACAAAAAAAAGGAATCTAATTCGAATAATTTCGACCGCTCGTCAACAAAGACCAAAAGGAACTCCCCGAATATTTACTTGTAATGTTATAAGAGTGCTCTTGTTGATCTTTCTTGACCGTGTACTTTAATATTATGATTTAATAAAACCTTGTCCAACTACACGTTTTATTATTTTATTGAATCTATGTTTAGCGCCCCTGCCCTTGGACAAAACTTTACAAATCATAACATACCTATTCAAAGGGTGTTATATTAATTCGTAACAATATGCGTTAATATCCTTTTGATATTGTCAATGCGCATGATTTTTTCTTTAACTCGTTCACGTAAATGATAGTCGTCATCTTGGATCACTTAGCCGGGTCGCAAACCACTTATAGAAGTTTTCTTAACAAGGTGGAGCCATCTAACGGTGACTTTTAAAGTAGTGGGCTAGTACTAACTTTGTTTATCTACTTGCGTAATAGTGATAAATTGATTGGTTTGGTATTCAGGGCTGGTCTAGCCTGAGTAATTAAATTAAATATGTTGGATGTATTTCCAACAAAAACTTAAAAAATCCTTAATCTACGTTTATTTCTCTTTAGGATTCAACAGATTGGTATTTGCGGGTTCTTGTCCAGGCAGATTGAATCCTTGGAACGCTTTGAATGTGTCGAACCATTACAGCTATACTGATTGGCTCTTTTTGGTATATTTATCTAAAAACGTCGATCCGTTGGTATTCAAAGAGATCTTCCTCGGTATAGCTGAAGATATGGAAGAGAGGAAAGCGATGAAACAACCGTTATTGGAAGCCGAAGAGCTAAATATATTTTCTTAGAACGAATTTAAGTTATTTAAACTAGTTTTTACGCATTTAATGTGTAATGGAACCTCCACAAATTGTTCTAGTACGTGACAAAAACAAGAAACGAAATAATAAATCCAAGGTGCTTTAGGAAATATTTTTTAAGTGTTTCTAATTAAAAAGTGATATAAATGACTGTATGTTTCTGGAAAATTACCATTAGGTAACTATTTAATTTAATATATTCAAATAAATTTTCCATTTGTTAAAAAAAAAACAGAAAATCATAAACGCCTTATACCATGTTTGATTTTGTATATTTTTTTATTGTTCTGTAGAATGTTTAACTCTATAATATTTAATTTAGAAGAATATATTTTGTTTTTATTTAAGTTATATTTATGTGTCACTAAAGTGAGCTAATTAATTTATTGTATCCAAAAAATTATTTTTGGGGTATAGACGATTAGAAATATAAGATCTAAATGTTCTGTCAAAGGATTATTTACTAGATATAAAATATCTAATTGCTAAATGAAAAATATTCATGATTTCTAATGGTTGTTTCCTTGAAATCGGTTTACCGCAAGAGTGATGATACGATTCTTATATTTCTGAATGTTTTATACTTCTAAGAAAGTGATATTTACGACTGCAAATCTATAATAAATAAATATTTTTTTTAAGTAAATTATTAGTTTAATTTTTTTAAACAATGCATATAAATAAAAAAAATATGAACATATGTTTAAGAGAACATAAAATGGAATCATAATGAGAAAGGTAACGTTTAAGAAGAAAATGACACTAATACAACAATTACACAATTAAAAGTTTTTTAGGCTAAGCGATTTCAGTGAGTAAGGTGAGTCCATACCAATTGTGTTGCATGCAAAAATTATTTTTTTTCTCTAAATTGACCTCCTTTCCTCTAATTTCTTTCCAGCCATATCCAACCGATATTACTTCCATTCGCATTTCTTGTTGCAAATTTAGAAAATCATAATTAATGACCACTTGGTAATAATGAAATATCAATTTTCTCAAATGTCAGTCTTTTTAAAGAACTAATAAAACTCTAAATCAATACAACAATATTTTTAATGTAACAAAAGTTTTGACAATACTCTAGTTTCAACCCTTAATGCCCATCATCATAATACAAAAATATTTCTTCATTTGTATAAAAATGGTTCAACAAGTTTTTAAGTTAATACAAATAAATCAATATAAAATTTGATGAAAGTTTTTATTTAATATTACCATCGTTCATAAAATAAAATATATGGGGCTTCATACAATATTTACATCTAGTAAAAGTAGTAGTAGTATTGGTAAACATTCGGCAAAAATACAAAGGGTTATTCCTTGGACTATTTTAAGAATATTTTATTTGATGATTTGTGAAAACTCTCTTTGTTTTGAAGATACAGAGCGACGTAACCATTCTCTAATATTTGTGTGTGTATTGGATATAATAAAGAGATAAACCACAGCACATTTCAAATAGTAGTGCACCTTTTTTGTTAAGGTAAGTTAATTTTTACTTTCCTATCTGTATACAGATATAAGGAAAGTATAGGAATCATAATTGTTTTCGACCTCGAGTTTTCGACGGATTATAACGTTTTGAGGTCCCCTGAATCCGTTTTGACTATTTTCGCGATGATGTCTGTGTGTGTGTGTGTGTGTGTGTGTGTGTGTGTGTGTGTGTGTGTGTGTGTGTGTGTGTGTGTGTGTGTGTGTGTGTGTGTGTGTGTGTGTGTGTGTGTGTGTGTGTGTGTGTGTGTGTGTGTGTGTGTGTGTGTGTGTGTGTGTGTGTGTGTGTGTGTGTGTGTGTGTGTGTGTGTGTGTGTGTGTGTGTGTGTGTGTGTGTGTGTGTGTGTGTGTGTGTGTGTGTGTGTGTGTGTGTGTGTGTGTGTGTGTGTGTGTGTGTGTGTGTGTGTGTGTGTGTGTGTGTGTGTGTGTGTGTGTGTGTGTGTGTGTGTGTGTGTGTGTGTGTGTGTGTGTGTGTGTGTGTGTGTGTGTGTGTGTGTGTGTGTGTGTGTGTGTGTGTGTGTGTGTGTGTGTGTGTGTGTGTGTGTGTGTGTGTGTGTGTGTGTGTGTGTGTGTGTGTGTGTGTGTGTGTGTGTGTGTGTGTGTGTGTGTGTGTGTGTGTGTGTGTGTGTGTGTGTGTGTGTGTGTGTGTGTGTGTGTGTGTGTGTGTGTGTGTGTGTGTGTGTGTGTGTGTGTGTGTGTGTGTGTGTGTGTGTGTGTGTGTGTGTGTGTGTGTGTGTGTGTGTGTGTGTGTGTGTGTGTGTGTGTGTGTGTGTGTGTGTGTGTGTGTGTGTGTGTGTGTGTGTGTGTGTGTGTGTGTGTGTGTGTGTGTGTGTGTGTGTGTGTGTGACTGTCTGTCTATGTGTTTGTGTGTCTGTATCCACCATAACTCATGAACCGATACACAGAAAAACACCAAATTTTAAACTTAAGCTTTATTCCAGCGTCCAATGAAATGATTAAATTTTGGGCAGAGTCGGAACATCTGGGAGGGTACTTTATGGGTGGTCATTTTTATATTTTATAGAATATATCTGTTATTTACGTTTGGAGAAGAAAATTATTTAAATAAAAGTTACTTCTAATTATTATTATTATCTATAATTTTTGTTCTATACAAAATTTTCCTAAAATGGTCCATATTCGAGAAATTTGACAAAATGTAAAAAAAATAATTTTTTATAAAAATTGTTCAAATAAAAGTTGTTTGTAATATAATTTACATAATTTCTCTAAAATGGACCTTATTTGAGATATTTGAGAAAATGTGTAAATTTCGAATTTTGAAGAAAACACAAAAACGGATAAAGACAAAAACATTAAATTTTCAACTTAGGTTTTATTTCGGCCTGACGTGAAATGATTAGATTTTGGACAAAGTCGGAACATCTGGGGGGTACTTTATGGGAGGCCGTTTCTATATTTTATGGAATATATCTGTTATTTATATTTGGAGAAGAAAATTTGTTCAAATAAAAGTTACTTCTAATATTATTATCTATAATTTTTGCTTGTTGTCAAAATTTCCTGAAATGGTCCGTATTCGAGAAATTTGACAAAATTTGCAAAATTCTGATTTTTATGAAAATTGTTGAACTAAAAGTTGTTTGCGATATCGATCTCTATAATTTTTGTTTATACATGATTTTTTTAAAATGGACCGTAATAGAAAAATTATAGAAAAAGTGCTAAATTTAAATTTTTTAGTATTTTCGTTTTCAATGAATATCTATAGAAAAATGTTTCGAGGTAGATGTATGTGGAAAATGTATTTATTTAGTTTATCCTCTAAACATTTATAGAGGTACTGCAATAGGTTGTACAAAATAACCGGAAAAATCCTATTATAATAACTAGATAGGAAAGTCATGTGTTGGACACATCAGATTTTTAATGCTGCAGGTGCAAATGGGAGATACTGTGATTCTAATATAAAATTTAAATTTAAAACTATATATTACACACTCGTATAGCTTCAATAAGTATATTGCATGGTAAATTATAGGAGTTGTTGATTCAGGCACTATTTTTATGTTAATAGATAAACAAGCGAATAAGTAAATTTCTTAGAGTTAAGAGTTATTGCTCCGCTGACAATAGCAAGAAATTTGTATTATTAATAGACATTCTGTTTTAATCCTAGAAGACACAATTTTAAAGAAAATACCTTAATTTTTTATGTGCAAAGAGAATAAAGTGGCACTAGCCTTGGGTTAGCATACTTTTTGTCAAAAAAAAGGACAACTTTTAATAGGGATTTAACATTATCAAACATGCATTATTACTTAAAAAAGAGTTTGACAGAGAAAAAATTAGGTATTTGTATAATAGGTATATCTTTTCTAAAATAATTATTGTGCAAAGAATATCAACTAAGCTACTAAAATAATAAAATCTATAAATCAGCCTTATAAATAATATATTTCACAAATGTTTCATAATATATTAATTTACATGTTTTCTGACTTATCTGTGAATGAAACGTGGAGAAAATAGTTTTCCTTAAGTTTTCCTTGATTTTGTTGCTGTCTGTTGTTGTAGTGATCTGATAATGTGTAGACAGTATAATTTTTTGCAAAAAGCTTTACAGCCGTATGCATAGTCGATCGCCAGAGATTCATTTCGGCGCATCGCCAGCGATCCGCCGGCGAAAGCCCGAAAATGTGGCGACTCGCTGGAGATTGTCACCGACATGTCATTTCACGCAAGTTTTCATGTTCTTTTATAGGGAAAAATTTGATATTCGTTCATTGTTTTTTGAGTTTTAAGAAATGAATCAATAATAAAATGCGAGAGATGCCAGTGATAATCTCTATAAAAGAACATGAAAACTTGCGAGAAATGACATGCCGGTGACAATCGCCAGCGGGTCGCCACCTTTTAGGGTTTTCGCCAGCGGATCGCCAGCGATACGCCGGAATGAATCTCTGGCGAATCGCAGGCGATCGACTATGCATACGGGTGTTAATGTCTTCTTTCCATCTTACAATAAATAAAGCAAGAAGATGACTTTTTTTATTCTATACAAATATATAAAATACAGTAGAGCGTCGATAATCCGGATTTAATTGTGACCGGACCCTGTTCGGATTATCAAAATGTCCCTGTCAAATCAACGCTTTTGTTTGACAAATATGCATGTATGTATTCACTTTAACTTTTTTTTTGTTTTTCACCGGAATTGCGTCCGGATTAGCGACGGTCCGGAATTTTGACGTCTAAATTATCGACGCCCTTTATGTTAAATTACATTATTTAGCATATAATAGTATTTTGCAATTTTTACAATACCTATGTTAAGCATATTCCACAGTTTGAATTGTTGTTGTCGTGATTCCTTAAAGCATTTTTCGTAATATTTATTGGTCTAGGACGTTTAGGAGCGGGTTTTGTACTTTTTAAAGGAATACCGGATGTCGAAGCACCGATATTGATGTTTTCATACGGGCACTCCGGTTGAGCAACAAAACAAGCCAATTCGTCATCCTCATTCCATAATATTATGTCTTCAGGTGCATCCTGCGTAACTACCTGTGTAAGTTCTTTGTCCATTTCTTGCCCAGGTCTAAACTTCTTTCCTCTCCTGCGTTTCTTCTGTTCGTCTGATGTGCCCCGTATTTCCTTCAACATGTTGACCAGACTGGTGTCAAGAGTGCGAGAAACTTCTTCACGGGTAGGTAAAGCTCCGGGTATTTTTCTTAAAACTTCGTTTGGGTCCATGGGATGTAAGCCTGTGGTCCGAAACCCAGACTTAAGATTTTTGTCAACTCTTTCATTGATCTGATCCCAGAGCTTTGCAAGTAACGGGGAGAATTGTTCTTTAGGCAAGATGCCTGTATAACGGCTCTCTTTTCGCCACCGTTCCAAAATTTCGCGCCACTTTCTTTTAAAGGGGACGAAAACAGCTACATCTAGAAGCTGCATTAGGTGGGTCACGTTGGCCGGGAATGGACACATAAATATTGTTTTCTTCGACAGCTTATATAACGGTAGGGGCAAAATGGCTCGCTAAATTATCACCAATAATCACTGTTCTCCTGCTTCTGGTGTTGATTAAACATGCGGTAGCAGCACTTATAAAAAAACAGTTTTCAAATTAGTTTATGTCAAATCAGCCTCAAATTGTGTTTCCGTATATGGTTCCAGGAGGACCAC